GATAAAATACCTTCGCATTGAGGTCTAGCTAATACCTTCCATCGCGTTTTAATAAGAGCCTCTAATATTTGAAGGGCAAAGTATTTCGTCTGCTGGCTTGAACTGAACTCTAAGATAGAATCGACCCGCGTCCAGGCTTCAGGGTGCTCCTTCAAAGTATTGAGAATTTTCTGTGCAAGTTTTTGTTCCTCTCCAGACGAGGTATACATGGAATTCACGACTTGATCAAGCAACTGGATGTCCAGACGCTGAGAAAAGTCTAGAAGCTGCACAGCTGTTGCTTCGGTCAACATGGTTGGTACAGAAGGCATCTAAAAAGTAGCAAATTCACTTTGAAAACGTTTATCAACTGGGAACTTAACCGGCACTCTGCACCTGCCCTAATAAATTCTTTGTGGACAACGTAAACAGACCGTAAACAAAATTTCAATTTTTCGAACAAAAGTTGGATTCTTTGAGTTTAGGGCGGGAATCTGACAGTACAGTAGTTTAAATAGCATACGACAACTGTTAAAGAGGTCATCAGCATACTTTTTTTCGCAATAAAGACGAAAATCGAACGGCAACTTCGCTTACGGTAGCCCGTGAGACCCGCAGTGGAATACATTAAGACAGTCATAAGCAAGGGCTTACTTCAGAATAAATTTACCTGGAAGCTCGATTAAAACTCAGGCAGATTGCTAGTGCTAGCAGAGCCCGAAAGACCTAGATCTGATATGTCGCTGTTAAAGGGAAAATCCGGATAATATGAAGCCGTAACGCCAATAAATGTTTTACTTCCAGTACTGTCTTGCGGTCAGGTTCCAGCATACTAGTACTAGGCAAAAAAGCCCCGTATATGGCAGCTAGAGTATCCCTATCTAAACCCTTAGACCCCCCTCGGCGCGGATTTCATCAGATAGTTTAATCGAGACAAGAAAAAGGTTCAAATGGACTTTAACGCCGTTCTAGGCGGTTATGGTTTGTAAGGTTGACCGCGATAGCTTAAGCAACTTGAGACAACTATTAGCGACAGCACTTACTCTGTCAAAGGAAAACCATTTTCACGAGCAGCACTCAATTTTGTAGACTGGCGCAGGCGACTATCCTGGAATCGAACGCTTGAGACCTAAGATGAGCTGCGGAGACGCGCTAATAGCGGGCGTTAACCGCACCACTAACATCTTGAAATGCAGTATGCCTAGTTTATTCAGCACCACCAAGCGTTAGAGAGAGCAACGGGAAATGTGTTCCGTAAAGCACAAGATCTTCATACAAACTGACCAGCATGCAACCCATGAACTAATCAGGCAGAAGAGTATAGATACGGTGACCTGACTGCCAATTTATGAAAGGTGGCATGGGCATACGAGTGTGATAAAAAAAATTAAATTTCAACAAAAGTATTCCGATGTGACTAGCAAGCCCAAATGCATTAATTTGTGTGTAATGCAGGATTATTATAAAAACCCATTGGAAATTTACCGACGATTCGGCAAAATTATTAATAAGAATATTAGTTGACAACGGATCCATTGAATCTGACGTAGACTCCCCTAGTAGCAAAACAGCGGCGACTTCAGCGGATTTGGCAGCGTGGTTGAGCGATTTCTCGCTAGATAGCTTTTGCGGCCTCTAATTGGCTAATGTTGTTTTGCCTGAGTGCTTTTTCATAGGTTGCCGTAACTCCAGCAGAAATTCTCACCGGAATCAGTCGTGGAATCTTCTGCGAAAAGTCGCGCGTGACCTTTTTGCACCGGAAATCGGTGCAACTAAGGTGACAAAATCGCGCATAAATCCGGCCTTAAATGCGCGATTTGTCGCACCGGATTCCGGTGCGAAATGTTACTAGGGTCGAGTCGGATCCGACAGCCTCTCGGGTAGTTTTCAGTGTACTGGGGATAATAAATGCCCTTGTCTGTGAAAAAGATTAAGAATGACACATTTCCATTTGCTTGAGCAAGGCAGAACGTGAACTAGTGAAAAACAACGCTTTCCCTAAACCGGCACGCGATAACGTACCTGCAACAATCCGGTTTAAACTGGATCTCGTAAATTGGATGTGTTCGCAAATATGTAAACGTTTAAAACAAACGTAGGCTAGAGTAAAGGCCGACTGCCCAGAACTCGATTACAGTTGACACCAATTTGGCTATTTTTACGAACTTTGCCTGAACAAAAAATGAAGAAGATAAAGGTCACAAACGCAATTTAATAGTTATCAATTTAGTGAAAAATGCGAAATCACCGGGTCTAAAAGACATACAGCATCATTTACTGGATGAGCTAGCTGAGGACTTAGTTTATCCGTTGCTAAAGCTCTTCAAAGTCACGTTCAAAGCTGAGTTTTTACACGCCGATTGGAAAGCTGCACTGATAACATCGCTATACCAAGACACTAGTAAGGTTTCCCAAAACAATCACAGACCAATTAGCGTCAGTTCGATTTTCTGCAAAATTGCGGAGTAAGTAAAGTGACAGATCGGCATCTCTTCTGTTAAATGATAGTACGTGTTCGGTGACTTAAACGTAAGTACCTTTTTCGATAAACTACCATCCATTGTTTTCATCCCTAGTAGCAGTTTACGTCTATGGAAGGTCTATAGAATCTCTATTTATAGAGATTCTAATATCTATTCGTAGTCTA